TCCAAAATCTCATCTTCCTCGTCAGCCAGTTACAATCCCTTCCATAGTGCCCTTCTTATCGTCACTAAAATAGGTGGAACAAAAACATGAAAAAAACAATAATAACCTCCAATGTTTTTGAACCATTATTGACTCAGATGATTGAACTATTTGGCCCGATAACTGTTCAAGCAACTGATTCTGTTTCACCCTTGTTTTTTGGAAAAAAAAACCGTTGATTTGATCAGTGACCTGTTAATCTGAGCAGTCGAGCCATTGATCAATTCAACTCAAACAACGGTTTTTGGTCATTTTTATTTTAATTATTTATTATTTTTTAATTTGGAACATGTTTGTTCAAACTGAACAGTCGAAACATTGACCCAAAAATTGATGGCCAAAGCAGTTTTGGTTCCAAGTCAGTTTTTAAAACATTGATAATCTCATCTAAATGACTAGGGAAAGCCCCATTTAACTTTTTAAAAATTTCACAATAAAAATAAACATACACATAAAATCAAGGAAAACTAAGTTGGCTGATTATTCTAAGAAAAGTTGATTTGTCCGATATTTTCTTTCATATAGCATGGATGTTGATGAGAAAACAATCATATTCTTCTATGTTATTGTAGTGATAAACTACATACAAATAGCGTGTCTCAGTAGATCATAAAATGTTAGCTGCTATAAACACATCCCCCCAGTTAAGCCTAGAGTTGTAAATCGAGTTGAATTGCCCACAGGCCGATATGGCCGGACATGATTTTGGTCCGGCCCGGCATGAATATATGGGCCATGCCAGGCCTGGATTTCTAGGCACATGGGCCAGCATGGCACAACACGACCCAATCAGGCCCATATATATAATTTTTTATTTTTACTTTTAATTTTGTTAGATTGTTTTATTCCAATTGTATTGTGATTTTTTAATTTCGTTTTATTATTTCATATATAAACATTTATTTTAAAATTTTCATTATTTTTTTAATTTATTTTAGAAAAATACCTCTCATGACTTGGTTTGATTTGTCCATTTTAATATTAGCTTTTTATGGGTAAAAATGTCAGTCTGTTGCTTGGGTAAATTACAGTCTGTCCAGAGAATGAAAGGAACAGGGGTAAGTGAATTTATCTAGGTAAGTGCACTGGGTAAATTACAAAGTTGTAAACGAACGAGGCTTAATTGCTATATATTGTGTTTATTTCTTATCCTTAGAGTTGGCTAAGTGGTGGACTTGGTTTAGATAGTTAGAAATTATGACCTTCTTATATTATCTTATGTTATATTTGACCTAAACAGTTTATAGTGTTACCTATGTTATTATAGGATTTTTATGTTGTTTTTCTTATTATGTTCCTTTTTTCATGTTTTCTTTATTTCTGTATATGTGAATTAAATGTAAAAGTATGTAACTATTTTAATAATAATAATAATAATAATAAATAACAATAACAACAACTATTGAACCCATGCGATGCACGAACTTTGTTAAGCAAAAGTTAAATAATAGAAATACATAAGAGTAGGCAATTGTTTTGTAATTTATTTTTAAGTAATTAATAATTATTTATATTTTATATACTATTTTTAATAATTTTTTTGCAATACAAAATAACACTAATTAATTTCATCTAGAGATGTTCATCAAACTAATGAAACTGACCAAACTGATCACCCAACTTGCCCCGAGTTGGTCAGTTTCTAGTATTTCTAGTCGATTTCAGTTCAGCAATTTCCCAACCCGACCAAGTCAGGTTATTATTGATTTGGCCATTTGTAAATCAACCAAAATTAAACCGACCCGATTATATATATTTCAAATATAAATTTTTAATACATGAAAGTGGAAATTCCATATTTCTTAGTCTAAAATATTTTATATTGTAAACTTAAATTTTTAAATTTACTTTTAATAATATCATTGTATTTTTTAAATGTAATTTAATTTTTTAAGTTTAAATCTTTTAAACCAACCAACCAAATGGATACCATTGTTTTCAACCCACCATTAACCCAACCAATTAAACCATTTAAACCGTCACCCGACCTTGATTCCAAGTGTAATTCTATTGGAACCCACCCTTTAGTTAAAATTGTTGACTTGGTAAAATACCACCCGACTTGGAGGGCTCAACTATTGGCCCATTCAACCCGGTCACTAGGTTACAAGTTGCATGCTTAATGCATGTGTAAACTTTCAAAGGCCATAACTTTAAGGTGTCGTGGGTGCCTTTCCTTGCTATTTGCAAGAAAAACCTTTTTTGTCCTTAGATCAAAATTTTTAACATTTTTCTATAAAAATTTGAATTAAAAACATAAAATAATACATATATTATATGTAAAACATAATTATACACTATTTATTGATAAAATATGTATTTGCACACATATATACACATATGCACATTTATATATGTATTTAAATATATATTTATTTAATATATAGAGTGATGACGTGGAACAATCTAACTTGTTCGACCAGGATGGTTGAACCGGTTTTCACTAATGGTTGGTTAGTTTTGAGTGACCAACTCCCCAACCCGACTATATCAGTTTGATTGGCCAAACAATCTACAATCGAATTAAACTGCCTAGTGAGCACACCTAATTTCAGTTAAATTAATAGTTTAATCTCCAATAATTATTGAAATTTATAGTGAAAATAAAATAAATAATTAATAAAGCTTCAAATACCTCTAAATTATTTAATCTACTTTCACTATTTCAACAATATTGAGAATTTTTTCAATTATTTACATTTTCTATTCTTATTATCGAATATTATTACATTTATTATAATTAATTTTCTGTCTTTGATAAATTTTAAAATTATTACACAATTTTATTATTTAGCCTACTTTTTTGTTTTAAAATAATGTTTAAAATATGATTTAGTATTAAATTATTTTAAAACTTTTAAAAATTGRTTATTTATAATATTACATAGTTATTTTTTAAATTATTTATATTTTATATTCTTATTATCAAATATTATTAATTATATTATAATTATTTTTGTGTTTTTGATAAAAATTTTAAGGTTATTACATAACTTCTTTATTTAATTTATTTTATTTTTTAAGTAATATTTAAAATGTGGTATAATTATTAATTTTTTTAATATTTAAAATTATTTATTTACAATATTATTTATCTATTTAAATAATATCATTATTTAGTTATTTCAATATTACTTATTTATTGAATTTCATAATGCACACATAATTTCGTTATTATAACTATTTAAAATTTAGTTATGTTAAATATTTTGTTATTTAAAATATTTATTTATTGAAATATTTAAATAAAATTTARTATATTTAAATTTTATTTATTTTAAAGTTATTACATATATTAAATATTTTGTGATGTAATATGTATCTATTTTTAATTCGTTGTTATTTATAATATTTAGTTAGTGAAATTTGTAAATAATATTTTTAAATTTTAAATTATTATTATTTGAATAATATTTAAATTGAATAATTCATAAAATTATAATTTGTATTGTTAGTACATAATTTCGTTATGAATTTCATAACAGTATAAAATTATTAATAATATGAATATTATTAAATCTATGATAATTTCATTATAATATTTAAATAATTTTTAAATTTTTAATTCAACTTTCTTTTGATAGATATAGATAAAAAAAGGGAGATAGGATAAATAGGAATTAAAGATAATTTAGGAGAGAAACTCTACTAAATTAAAGATAATTTAGGAAATAATTAGGAATGAAAGAGATTTTAGGAATAGTTTTAGGAAGGGATATCCAAAGGGATAAACATAGAGGAAAGAGGGATGGGCCAGGTATGCTAAGATGTCAAAATGAGAAAGAGAGAGAGAGAAGAGGGAGTGATGAGGTGGCTTCATGAGGGAGCAAGGAAAGCTAAAATGAAGAGTATGTGAGTTCTCTATCGGTTGGGGTAAGGGAGAGAAAGCTCAGCACATGACGTCGCATGTTTCTACTTTAGTATATTTATGGATGATGTCAAATTTTGAAGTTTATTTATTAAGGACATAATTGAAAATACTAGATTCCAATTTCAACYTCTAGATGACCTCATGACCCAATGAACATCAATTTGAATATTTGAATCAAATAAGCTGAGGAGAAGAGGCAATTCTGATTCTGATTTTGACTATGAACCAAATGAATAAAAGAAAGAAGAGCAAAGCCATTCCTTTCTTCAAAAAGAGTTGCATAGAGCAAAAGGGGAGGGGGTGGGGAAGGGGGAAGTACTACAGAAAATGGATTGAGTAAGAAACACAAAACAATAATCAATTACTACATGAATTTGTAAACATAATTTATTCAAGCCCTCTCTACTCTCTACCTGCTCCATAAACAAAACACAAGACCATAAGTTCATAACTCGAATCCCCAAATCACCACAAACTTTGGCAAATTTATGATAGTGGCCGAAGGCAAATTTGGATAAATTTTTCCTTTATCCAGCCTTCTCTTAATTCGTTCACATTTCAAAATTTTCTCCATYGACAGGATAGGGGCCGAAGGCAAAGAGTCGGGGACGTGGACAAGGTCAAGACTCCAAGGGACGTGATAGGTGATGTAAAAATTAATCCCTAACTTACCCAATGAATTAAGAATGAGATGCCGGCAAATAATCTCCACATTGGTTATTTCCAGTTGCCAACTTGCCATGCACAAACCAAAGTCCATAGAGATTCTACAGTCATCAGCAGCTAAAAACAAGCATCCACCAAAACTAAAGTAAAAAAAGAAGATTCATTTGGGTGGTTGTGTTGAAAAATGTATTCTGTTCTCTTCTAATGAAAAATATACATGTAGTTCTTTAATTCATTCAAGGAATATATATATATATATATATATATATATATATGTAATACCAAAACAAATAAAAATAGAAAGAATATAGACAGTTCTTTCCTAAAATTAGGAAGAAATATAATTCAACATTTTCTCCTTGGCATATTGACAGGCAACTGATTGAGCCTGTATAAAGTGTAAAACTTTCCGAGGCTTCTGCTATTTGACAAATTTTCATCTTTCTATGTTACTATGTTAAATTTACTTATACGTCGACCAAAATCATTGTCAGATAGGAGCCCTTGGGATTATGTTATAATAGAAAATGTAACAACTGAAGGGGCATTTCCGAATCTATCAGTGTGCTTCAATTTAGGGATACCTATCCAATGCCAAATTGCTCCTTCAGGAGGTTGGTGCTTATTCTACCAACTAGTGCTTTGGCATCTTAGTACTTTTGATCCCATTATTCCAACCGCAAGAGGTACAGGAATTCAATTGTCACCACCATCCATTTTCCATCTTTTACATCATGTGTCACCAAGGGCAACTTAAAATAGAACAGGAACCCATAGCAAACTTCCACTGACCAGTGCAATCTCCTGTWAAGTACTCCCAGCATTCTGGATTAAATGCCAGAGAAGCACAGCTGATGAAAGGCCCAAAAGGTAGTAGAAAGATGATTGAATAATTCTACTATCTTGTCATCAAAATGGCCAATTGCAATGCACCTTGCTGGCAAAGTCTCACTGGATTCTTGAATACAGTTATCCTCGCATTCTTTGGGGCTCCCAACACAACATGCACAATGCTAAAACCTTCACCTCTATCAACTGCAAATTGCCATTCCCTCGTTGATATTGTAAACCAGTCCTTGTTTGAAGATCTGGTTGCTTTAACTTCAATGTATTCCTTCTCTTCATCATTTCCAATGACAATGTCATAGGGTAAACCTGTCTCTTTTTCTTCATTCACCCATTTCACACCTTCCTTTCCAACTTTCTTAGCAAGATAATTGAAAGCCAGAAGCTCTCCCACCCTACCCGTTATCACTGCCTGTTTCTCATTAGGTGTGCCAATAGACAACTGATCCCTCTCATTGGAGAGCAGAAGTATGTCCGAACCCTCACAAACAGTAACTGGATCAACTGGCTTGTTTAACACTTTGGGTGTAGGATCAATCCCTCCAGAGACGAGACTGTTACAACCCACTGATAGAGGGTGATCTTCCAAAATCCCAGAGTCTTGGAAGGGTAGCTCTATTGTAGTCACTGATGAGTCATCTTGGATTATCCAATCACTACTAATTCCAACAGGAACTCCATGATCTGCTTCATAAGTGGCACCTTCAGCTTTACCCTCTGTTGAACTGCAATGTGAAGCAACTGGTTTTGTCCTAAGATGATTTGTTCGAGAAATAGAAAAATCTGGCGCTGTCTTCCAATCAGCAGGTGGCCAATTAGGAATGATGCCTGGTTTCCGTTTAGACTTCAAGAGATTTTCCATATTGCTCAATGCTGAAGCACAAATTGGCTGGGAAGGTCCGTTATCCTCCTGTGACAATGTAAGGGACCAGATAGTTTCTTCTTCGGGAAGCTTTGGGACCTTTTGACTATTAAGAATAAAAAACTCTGTCTGGTCTTCTGAAGAACCTGATTCAGCCATAGTTGTGATCATGTGAAGGAAATTTGCAAAGTGTAATTCAGAGACACCATTAAAGAAAAGCCGACTAAGTTCCATGAAAATTGAGTGAGAATCCGAGACCTCAGTCAAATATAAGATGTTTCCCTACAAAAATATATAAATGGATAATGTGTAAAGTAGCTAAAATAAAGAAATAAACAAAGCTAAGGAACACAAGCATACAGATTTAATGTGTTGAACCCACAAGATGCAAATATACAGTAGAAAATTTGTATCACCAGCCATCTGGCTAGAGTTACCACACATTTTGGGGCCTTGTAATTGGATATCACATGTTGACAGTTATTTTATGTAGTCCCAGGCTCCCATGTTTATGGTTTTTAAGTTATAGTTTTTGGGGAAGCTAGCCATACATTGCATTATATGGTAAAAAGCATGAATATAAGATGGTCTAATAATGCACCAAAAAGCACTTAAAATACAAAAAGGATTCTCAGGCATACAACAGTTAGGATACAAAAGAAAACGCCCTATCAATCCCACATTTCACATTTCACAATGCTATACCTATTGAACTAAGCCCCTCAGGATTCACTTCTGCACCATCATAACAACCAGGTTCTTCTAATCTTAGCAAGTGGACAAATTGTTATAGACCAGTACCCACCCCTTGGCCCCATGTTATGAGAGTTCGCATCTATCAATCCTGAGGAGCTATCAATCCCGCATTTCACATTTCACAAGGCTATTATCTATTAAATTAAGCTCCTCAGGATTCACTTCTGCACCATCATGCCAACCAGGTTTTTCTAATCTTGTCAAGTGGATGTGTGTGTGTGTATGTATATGTATATGTATATGTATGTAAAAGACAATGGGAAGATGAGAACTAGATTACATACCTGTAGCAGACAGCTGCACTCAAAACGCTTCTTAGATACACTATCACATCCTTTTATAGTATTCCTATAAAATAACTTTTCAACCACAACAACTCGTAAATTACTCAGAATTTCAAAGTTAGAATGCTTAAATTCAAAGTATTTATCTGGATGTAATTTGTAGATATATCTCTGTGCATAAGGAAGAACCCAATTCACCAATGATGCTTTGCTCGTGCAATCTTCCATACCATAAAATATAGCTTCACGATTAATGACCTGTACAAAGGAAAAAGGTAATGAAGTGAAGATGAAAAACTCAAGCACCACAGCCATTATATCTCATGATCTAAGAAGCCTAGATATAAAATACCATTTCTCKGGGCCCAAATTATGAGGAATACGATTACCTATATGGACAATAACATGGAAAACTGCTCAGTTTCTCAAGATAATAGGACAAATATGGATACGAATATCTTTATCGATATTAAATATTGTTCTTGCAAGCATGGTTCAAAGGTGTACCAGTACTTTAACTGATACGCCTTCTATTCTTTTTAGTTTTTTTCTTTTTTAAATTTTAGTTTTAAGTATAATTATACATATTATTTAATATAAAAAGGATTTTGTAAAAGCATCTGTAAACAGGTGTATTGGGGCACAAAGATATGACACGATACGCCCCGTATCATGTTCATACTTCGAACCATGCTTGCTAGTTACACAAGCTAGCTACCATTTATAAACTTGTATGCTGTAAAATATACTTAAATCATGTAAAATCCAAGGAATGGAGTCTATGAATTATTTTGGTTGTCAACTTGGAAAATTTTATTAATACTAGATATGTAAAATAAAGCTATGAAACAGCAAGGAACATAGAAGTACATGGACTGGGACTATAAAACAGCCCCTATACACTATCTAACTACTCAGGAAAGGATGAACTCCAAATAAAGTATATCCCTTTAGACCTCAATAGTCAATTCTAGAAAGATAATCTATGAAAAAACAAACAGGTCAATTGTTAGGAGTCGAGATAAATTTTTAAGAAATACTTGCCAAGTATCAAAACTGTAGCAGGTGTCATCAGTATATTGGGTTGCATAGGTACGCTATTGGAAGGAACAATCGGGTATCAGGGAACCATTACTTACATTATTCAAGTTAAAACACAAAAAAGTGTCCCAATTCCAAAGGGAACAGAACCATCAGGAAATCTGTAGGCTTTTTTAACCATCCACAAGGATGTGCTGTCAGATGGTTAACACAGTTCAACAATAAAAATTACTGCATATTAGACTTACTAGAAGTGACTAACCAAATACAGAGTGAAACCTTCCAAAACTACATTTGCAGATCCATTGTATGTGCACAAACAATGGTGACCTTAGTCTCCTACTTTTCAAGAATAAAAACCATTACCTCTGAAAGAGAAGGAATTCCTATCGTTTTCATAAGTACAGCAAGTTTTGCTAAAACCATTTCTTTCTCATCGTTCTCGAGTTCGCCAAAGTATAAGAAAACAAGGTTCTCAGAATCCTTAAATTGCTTCCTTAACTTTTCATCATCACTCCAACAAACTACGCCAAAACTAGAGTGGAGAGAAACCCATGTATCCTGTAAAGTTGGGAGAACTGTATATTCCAAACTATGAAGGCATTCTTTCAGGAAAATAATATCTTCTGAATCCACTAATCCCAATTTCAGATCATCAGTCCATTTTATAAGAATTTTGAATACCTGAGGAATAAAAAGAATACATAAGACAATAGTAAAATCCCAAAAATAAAGCAATATGAATTGCTTTTGACATGAAAAACTTACAGCATTAGCTGCCTGACAAGGCACAGCAATACGTGATAAATGCAGCAATATTTGAAGGTAGCTGCAGAATGAAGGGATCTCACGTACACCACATTCATGCACGAAAAAATCATGAAGACCAGGATAGATGTGAGATAATGTCTTGATCAAAGGATAGTTGCTCTCATTTATTGATCCACACTGAAGAATTAGCTCCTTCACTTGGTCCACAGAACCAGTTACATCATTCCAATATACTTCTTCAGGAGACAAAAATACACCAGATATGACATCATCATGTCTATAGGAATATGTTAATGGAACAAATACAAAGGGTCCTGAGCTTAACTCTGMAATTTTTGCTTTTGCAGTATTACTTCCACTCCAAATGAAGGAGTAAAATTTGGACATTTGTGCAATGCTGGTCCAAACAAAAAAAAAGTATCTTTAAAACAGTACAGTTTCATTAAAAATATAATCTAATGTATGGTGCATGGAGATCATATAGATGACTAACATCAATCACATAAAAATAATGCAACAGCTCCAGTTAGAAGAAGTGATTTGTTACAAGTGGAAGGGGCTAGAAGAGATAGGACTAGAACAAAAAGGAAATGGGCAGAAGTAATAAGAAATTATTTGAGCACTAAATAATTTAACAGGATTGGTGAAACAGGATTCATGTAGTTGGGATGAGGCATGGATGACGATGGTGATGACATACAAACAATGCAAATACACTTTGCAGTATCCTAATGAGTGTAATCTCTGGCACAAGATCAACATAGATAATGCAGAATTGCATATGAAATTACTCATAATAGTAATGTATTTTGTTGGTAGGTAACAGTTAAAACATTATCAATTATTAATAAAAGAAATAGGCAAGCAAAAGTTACCTAATCCTTTTCTACTTTTAGATACAAGTTGTCATCTTACCTAATTCCTAATCCCTTATTTAGCCATTGTATCCAACAATGCTCTTCACTCTTCTTAACACCACCTCCATCAATGCTTTTTTGTTCTAAAAAATTCTGGGATTTCTCTGCATTCAAATTATCTATACTGCAACCTAAGAGACTATTGGTGTGAAAATTTAGGAAACTCTCATGCAACATAATTCACTCAATTAAATAATTAAGTTTATTTTTTTTATTTTTGGGTAAGGCCCTTCAAGGAATTCACATACCTGCAAAGAAGCAGGAATACACAAATGAATGTAAAGAACAAATGAAAAAATAGAGAAATCTTCAAAGGAAAGTTCCACTTATATATATATAAAAATCAGTGTTTTAAAAGCACAAGGTGCAAAAAAGGCGTAGGGGCCACTTTCTGCCCGAGGCGGAAGGCGAGGCGCACGCCCTTTTGAAGAAAGGCGCAAAAATACAAAAAAAAGGCTAAAAAATCAAGAATTTTTTTCAGAGAATTCAAAAATTCCAAAAAATTAAAAAAATATTAAGCATAATATTAATAAAAAATATAAACCTGAATTTTAAAATAAATGTTTTAAAAACCTATTATCTAAAATTAAAATACATAAACATAACATGTAAAGCATATTCAAATGAAAATTAAAAAAATCAAACATATAAAAAATTTTCAAACAAGTAAAACCCACAATCTCTTTTTTTTCCTCAATTGCATTACTTCAAGTAGCTAATGTGATGTAAAACATATTACATTCCTGATTCTACGAG